TCAAACTTCTTGTGTGGAAACCCCACAGCAAAATGGTAGAGTTGAAAGAAAACATCAACATTTACTTCAAGTTGCTAGAGCCATCTTATTTCATGCTCACTTGCCTATGCACTTTTGGATTGATTGTGTTACTGTTGCAGCCCACATCATTAATAGATTGCCATCATCTGTTCATAAATCCATCTCACCTTTTGAAAAATTGTATGGCAAACCACCCTCTCTTGAACATCTAAAGGTGATAGGTTGTCTGTGTTATGCATCAACCTTATCTGCACATAGATCTAAATTTCATCCTAGGGCATCAAAATGCATTTTACTTGGTTATCCACTCGGTTGTAAAGGCTATAGACTTTACAATCTGGAAACTAAGAACATAATAATTTCCAGGAATGTGTCTTTCTATGAAACTATCCTCCCTTTTAAACACACACATTATCTCAAAGTTGATACTGAACCTATGTTTCCCAGCCCTCCTCATTTTTTTTATGATGAACCACAACATACTCAAACCTTACCAGACCACAATACTACCACCTCACAAATATCATCTCCTATATCTTCTCCACAAACAGTTCCTAATCCAACAATTTTCAATACTAACCCAAGCCATATACCCATTGAGACACACAATTCTCCTCAACCTACACTAAGGAGATCTACTAGACAGAGGAACCCTCCTCCTTATCTACAAATTTATGATCATAACATTTCTCATTCTTCTAATTCTTCTATATCAATTTCTGAGGACATTCCTGGTACATTTTATCCAATTGGCAACTTTCTGTCCACAGCTTCTTTATCTCATGATTATTGTTGTTACACTGCATCTATCACTACTAATTCTGAGCCTAAATCTTTCAAACAAGTCAATTTAGATCCTTTGTGGCAGGAAGCCATGAAAAAGGAAATTACAGCCTTAGAACAAACCCAAACTTGGGATCTTGTTCCTTTACCTAAAAATCAAAATTCTATAGGCTGTAAATGGGTTTACAAAATAAAATATAAATGAGATGGTAGTGTTGAAAGATATAAGGCCAGATTAGTAGCTAAGGGCTACACCCAAGAAGAGGGGATTGACTATTTTGACACTTTTTCCCCTGTTGCAAAAATCACCACAGTAAGAGTCCTCATTGCATTAGCATCTATTAAGCATTGGCATATTCATCAGTTAGATGTGAATAATGCATTTTTACATGGTGATTTGGATGAAACTGTGTACATGAAACCCCCACCTGGTTACTTAGCTGCAAATGATTCAAGGGTCTGTAAATTGAAGAAAAGTCTATATGGCCTTAAACAAGCCTCTAGACAATGGTTTTACAAGCTTACTACTTGTCTGATTTCATATGGTTTCATTCAATCATCCTCAGATTCTTCTTTGTTTGTGCATTCATCTACTGATTTTACTCTTGTCCTTCTTGTATATGTTGATGACATAATAGTCACTGGTGATAATCTAAATTCCATTCTTGCCATTAAAAAACATCTTGACTGTTGTTTCAACATTAAAGACTTAGGGGTTCTCAAATATATTTTAGGCATTGAGGTTGCTCATTCTGATAAAGGCATTCAGTTATGTCAAAGAAAATATGTTTTAGACATCCTGACTGATACTGGCTTCCTTGCTTGCAAACCTGCCACCACCCCTATGGATCCCAATTTGAAATTATCTTCTGTGCATAACACTGATTCAGCTCTTGTAGACTGCACCTCCTACAGGAGATTAATTGGTAGATTATTATATGTCACTATCACTAGACCTGACATAGCTCACTCTGTTCAAATCCTAAGCCAACATGTTGCTCATCCTCATCAGACACATCTGGATGCTGCCCATAAGCTGCTCAGGTATTTAAAAGCAACTATTGGCCAAGGTATATTCTATCCCAAAAACTCTACCCTATCTTTAAAAGGTTATAGTGATAGTGATTGGGCTGGTTGCATTGATACTAGAAGAAGTATTACTGGTTATGCTTTTTTCTTAGGAGATTCACTTATTTCCTGGAAATCTAAAAAGCGAACAACCATTAGTAGGTCCTCTGCTGAAGCAGAGTATAGAGCCTTGGCTTCCACTACTTGTGAAGCTCAATGGCTCCTATACCTGCTCAATGATTTACACATTTCTCATAATGCTCCTGTTTTACTCTTTTCAGATAGTAAGTCAGCCATTGCATTAGCCAAAACCCAGTTCACCATGAGAGGACAAAGCACATCGAAATTGACTGCCATCTTATCAGAGAAAAGCTGTCAAAAGGGATCATCAGTCTACAGTTTGTGCCTTCAGAGGAACAAGTGGCAGATGTTCTTACAAAAGCTTTGCATCCTCAGCCCTTCCACAAGTGCATTTCCAAGATGAACATCCTCAACATTCACAAATAGTTTAGCATATTCATCTTGCGGGGGGATATTAGATTATATTTTCCTTATGATAGCACCTTTTACTAACACGTTTTGAGCATTGTAAATAGCATTTTTAGTAGTAAATAGTCTTAGTATAAATAGGATGCATTAGGGTTTGATACTTTACTTTTCATTTTTCTCTTTTCTGTATTTTTTTTCTCTCTCTCTCTAAACTCTCTCGCCGTCATGTACTACAGAGTTCTTCTCTGATTTTGATTCAATCTTTCATCAATCTTTTGATTCAATCACTGATAATATTTTGTCAAGTTATATATATAAAGCAAGGTTCATGGTTTTGAATATTGGGATAATATTTTAAAATACCAATGAATAAGTTACATTAATATGAATTAAGAGTCATTATTTTACAGTTTGTATACAATATGTTAATATTTTATTATATGAGCCTTTTGTAATCTGCAGGCTACTAGTGACATTTATTTGTTGCATGCATATGCATGTGAATTTTTCTCGCCATTTCTCAAAAAATATTGCTTCGTGTTTGTGTTTTTGGGCATGAAATAGTAGTAAATGTTGTTATAGTAAGACGTGCTTTAGTCAAAGTTAATGGTTATTAGACGGTCATTTATTCAACATGTATACTCTCAAACTGAAATGTCATAAAATAAAAAATATTACCTCCTATTCTTTTGAAATGTCATTTTAACATTATCAACTATTAACAAAATAAATGTCGTTTTGGATATTTTGTACATTTTTTTCCGTTATTACCCTCATCTAGCTAATAAATGCACTACGTATTTTCATATTCCCTCTTCATCTTTTCTCAAAACATTCATCTCTATCCTCATTAATGAGGGTTATTATTGGCAACAAAAATATTCTTAATAACTGTGCAACTTCTCAAAACGACACTTATTATGAACAGAGGGAGTAACATAAATAAAAAGTTTGCATAAATTTGAGAGTTGGGTCAGAGGCACGTCATAGTTCATTGTGACTGTTGGAGTGGTATTCACTTAGTTTAAAAAAAAAAAANNNNAAAAAAAAAAAAAAAAAATCATGCAAGAACGAAACATGTTGAGATTTTTAATTAACTTTTTTATTACTTTGCAGAAAATTTTGTAAGATGAAAATGTTGTTTTGATAAAAGGTATGACGACGGGGAATCCTGTGGATATAATGACCAAGGCTACAACCGTCAAATTTGAACATTGTTTAGACATGATATGAATATAATGACCAAGACAACAGTCAAGTTTGAACATTGTTTAGACGTGATATGATATGGTGCTGAGAAACGTATTTGGATATACCACCGATTGAGGAGATAAAAGTGGGAGCAAAATTTATTTTCCATATTCATCTGTGATGGCTTATTTGTCGTGGTAATACTTTTGTTCATTGCCTTTGTTTTAAGACCTCAACAATTTCAAATACAATTAAATATTCCAATGCTATCATTTAAAATTAAATAGAGATTTCTACAAAAATATTCCAGTGGAATTATTCTTTTCACTGAAGTTTTGATGTAATTCGAATATCTGAACGACAATATTTCCAACGATTGAAACTGGAACATTGGCGAAAAAGAAATCTAACAAAAATTTAAATTTCAACTTAAACTTTAAGGAAAATTTAATTCAAATGGAATTAGTATTTATCTTTATTGAAAATTTTCAATGGAAATTATACTATTGAATTTTTAACTAATAAAATTTCAAATTAAAAATATTTTACCATGTCTAGCAAAACTGTACAGAAGTATCGAGATAATAATCAGATGCACGAGTGAAAAAAACATATAAGAAGAATAACGTGGCAAGTGGAAAAATTTCACATATCACAGTCCAATTTGGATCAAAACTGCTCAATAAATATTTTTTTTTCACGAGTCTAAAAAATCTAAATACACAATAACCCTAAACTCCATCTAAAATTGCTGTTTATCTCAAAAAGAAACACACCAATAAATATCATAAACTACAAACCCAACCCAAACCGAGGGAGAAAGACCAAAACCATAAAGAAACCTTGAAATTGGTGGTTAAAAAGGGTTCTCTTATTTCCTGGTATGACTTTTATTTTATTTTCTGCACCATACAAAAGTTAAAATGACCCAAAAGGGCCCCTTAGCAACTCATTTTCGTTGCCCGACCCTCAACTCGAATCGAACGTTTGATCTTGAGAGATTTTCCAGATTTTGAACTTTAAATAAACATGTAGAGTTATCCACTTTCATCATCACTAACCACCACTCCCTTTTCTCATGCATCCAAAATATGATATAAGTTTTGACTCGAATTTTGATGCTTCAAACTTCTCCACACACCACAATATCGATATTCCCTACAAACCAGCAACTGCTTCAAGAGTTAGAAAATTGTTGAAGGTATTTGTTAGTATAGATATCCACATATTGAAACACAGAAAAAATAAAAAAATAAAAATAAAAATACCCATGAAATTACTAGTTCTTCTAAAGCATAATTACAACAACAAATAACTGTAAAGAACATTACCAACAGATATCAGGCGTTTTGTTGGACTTGGCGGTGTAAGAGCATCATCCAATCACCATAGCCATTCGCACCACCGACCTGGTCCTCCACAAGATTTGTCAATAGGAAGAAACCTTCTCGTGGCTGTTCTCCTTGTCTCACAAGATGACTTAGCTGATAGTATGACTGGTCACCCTCCCTAATTTTATCGAGTATCTTCATTAGCTTTCTTGACATTTCATTGTCTCGCGGTTTAAGGCTAACCTGGATTTATCAAACATGAAAAACATGTTAGAGCTAGTTGTGGAAAACAATACATACAACAAAAGATTAAATCATTTAAATTTTCAGAGAAAAAACAATGGTAAATTAAGTTAAAGGATGTATTTGTATATCAAAATATCCAATCCATACTCAATTCATACTCAAAATCTAACTCAACTTTAATCCAACCCACTATCTTCAATATTATCAATATAATAAAATAATATCAACCAATCATTCTTACACATCACATCAATTTTAATTTATTATTCATCCACTCACATAATTTTAACTGAATGTCACTTCACATTATCTCTCTCTTACTTTTGCATCAAACCAACTTTAATTATTTTCTTTAAAATATTATTTTAATATAAAATCAAAATCCCACTAACAATTAACTATACCACTTTTTCCAAAATTAATTCTGGTTAACCAAGAAAAACTCATTAATAGCGGATGTATTTGTATACAAACACGCCCTAAGCTCTCACCTTTGAGTAGTCTGCTGCAAAATCTTCCCCGAGCAAGTTTCTAGCTATATCAGGCGAAATCGACCTCCCGAACCAAATCACAAACCGCAAACCGTCATCAAAGATGTAAAGACCACTGGTGTCCAAACTCTGTGCACTCAGTGGTAGTTTCTTTGAAACGCCATACTCTTCATTCTAATAATAAATAAAGGAAATCATAAGAGGTCCTTAACAAAACACCCAAAGCAATAAATCCCACCAAAAAAAGAAAACAAGATAGCGAGACAACTTACTTTCAAAAGACAGTCGTCCAAACGAACCAGCTCGGGATAAAGGAGCTTGAGCAGATTTTTAACAGGTAAAGTCATCATGGTGGAAGCAGAAGCACACCGTTCATCGAGCTGAACATCAGAGTACCCACCACGGAGGGGTGTTGATTTACATAGTGCTAATCCGTACAAGGGTAAAAATTTTAGTGACTCGGGGTAAATCATCCTTCCACTCAGGCGATGCTGAACCGCATAAAGATTTCTGTACTCTCTGAGGGTTTTCACAATACGTAGCTGAACGGCATTCCGAGCATCTTCCAGCTTGGAGGAAAGAGTTTTCTCAATCGCTGCATAATAGTTCAAGACATACTTATTAGTCTGAGATCCATGCATTAAAAATCAAGTCACGCATGATTAATGAACATCTATGGAAGGTAAGCGGGAGGGAAAATATTTTACCCAGCCTGGAGAATAAAGATGTAATTGCTCCGGTGTCGGCCAAGCGGTACATTTCTCCAAGATCTGCGACAACTGGAGCAGCAGCAGTGTGTACCCTAATGCGTCGTTCTCCGGAAGATGACGTGTATCTTGGCAATTGTTAAGGGCTACTTATTCTTATATGCTCTTCAGTTCCAGCTCATAATGTTAATTTTACGAAAAATAAATGAACACATAATAAGTTATTTACTTGAAGTATTCTGAAGGAAAAGGATACAGCAGTGCAACTTGAAAGTACACAGTCTGAGTGGTCAAAAGTGTATCTTCAAGAGACAGTTGTGCAACATAAGCTTTATCACAGTCAACTGCGGGCAGCGCAAGTAGATCGGTGGATCTGAGCATAAAGTTCCCATGATAAGTTGTGAAACGGACACCTACAGACAAGAACGACACGAGCTTATTACAACGCTCTGCTTGGGTTAAAGACAAAGAAATAAGATGGAGTGCCTCAGGTTAACGAAAATTCAATTCTATACCAGAGATAACATAATTGTACCTTTTCCACATCTTATTCTCATTACAGCTTCCCATGCAGTCTCTCTAGTAAGGTCTCTGGTTAGTTCGTGTCTCAACTTATCTCCGTGATTGCTTGCCTGGAAACTTGGATAATAATACACCTGACCACCAGTATATTTTGCCAGCGTGCCTATGAGGAATTAAAGATGAAATATTAAATGGAAACCCAGGTCATATCAAACGGGAACACTCAGTAACTGAAAAAAATGGAGAGATTACTAGGAGTGGAACTTGCATATATAACAATTTCAGTTGACATGAATGCATCATTCCTATTAATCACTACATTTGGCAATACCAAAATGTTACAAGACAACGAAAACCAATAATTAGAAACATAATCACGAGGAAAATTTCATCGTGTCATTGCATCTTCTAAATGTTGGAACGGATGTCATTAAAATATCTCTATGTTAGCATTATATTATTTACAGAATTCACCACCAGTGCCATTTGAGTTGGTGACATTTCACCATATTGCTGCTGCTTTATTCCATTTCTAATATCTCTATGTTAACGTTATATTATTCTAATTCATAACCTATTCCACATTGACAAAAAGATATTAAAGTTTCCTGTACCTCGTAATTTATTGAATCTTACTGCATAGGTCCTTTATGTGCTTTACTCGGTGGCAAATTGAATGGAAAGTACAAAGTGACATGTCACTGACTTCAAGCTCTATAACATACTTATATGGTACCCATAGAAGGAATTCTTAAACAACCAGTTTAGCATTTATCCAATCTAAGGCAAGGGAAACAAGCATAAATGAAAATAGTCATTTGATTTTTCCAAACCAAATATCACATAACACATACCTAAAGATGCTATATCCGTGTACTTATCACTGAAGGCGTAAATATTTACAGCTATCTGATACTTGGTAAAATCAGCAGCCATCTGTTTATAAAATGGATCTTCTGGTACACGTAAAATATGCTCCTTATCTGTCCCATAGACACGAATATCATCCCCTCGCAACCTCAGGCGGCCAACACCAAGTGACGGCAGAGAACTCTGGAAAATCAACAGTTTACCACCAAGTTGGCTCTGACAATGACACGATAATTAGTTAGTTTCAAGTTTAACATTAACAAATTTCCTAGGAGTAGAGGGCATCAACAGAGAATCATAGAATAACGTCTAAAAGACAAATGGGCACAATATTAAGATTCTTTTCATGGTTTCAAAGCCGAACCGGTCATCGAACCGGTTAAGCTACTGGTTCAATGGTTCACTGGTCGGAGCAGTGGACGAACCGGTTTAATTAATAGATATTGTTTATTTATTTTATATATTATTTTTAATTGTATATATATTAATCATTAATTTTATAGTGTATAATGGCATTTCTCTAAATAAGAGTTCAATAATCAATATCCTATTTGTAGTTTACCATAAATTTGTAATTTGTATTTTAATTTTTAATTCGAATTTTAATTTTGATTTTCTTTTCAGTTTTCATTATGTAAAGAATAAAAAATTAAAAATCAAGTTTAAGCTTTGATTTTGATTAAAATTAAAAAATTCATAGTAGTAGTGTAATGGAGCTGGAAGAGTCATTGTTGACAATTCTCCTGGCATAGTGCTAATAATGAACTAGATCAAAATGGCTCAATTAAATTCTAGTGCTTCTTCTAGAAAAAAAATATACCAAACGACGCAATGCACTTTGGGTCGCTACGGAAACAGCCTCCTTGTATTATACAAGGGTAAGGTCTGCGTACAACTGACCCCCAGACCCCAACCAGTTGGGAATATACTGGGTATGTTGTTGTTGTTGTTGTATAGTAGTAGTGTAATACAATGACAAAAGTGAGAAAAAAAAAGTGCTGGTGCAGAGTGTCGAACACGGCACCTTGCACTTTCAGTGTACATGTCTTGCCACTACACTACACGCACATCTTTGTCTTTTAGCCAGAGGATAATATATTTGTAGTACAAACGTCCAAAATTGTAAACCGCCGGACCGGTTGAATCGCTACCGGTTTTCCGGTTTTACCGGTTTTTAACCGGTTGGAGCGGTTCATGACCGGTTTTTGGGCCAGCGGCTCAATACTCCAAACGGAACCGGTGTGATGGTACCCGGTCGAACCGGCCGGTCCAGTCAGGTCCGGTTTTGAAAACCATGATTTTTTTTATATAATGCAAATGCATGTCAAAGTTTTGCAAACACAGAAGCAAGCATACCATAACCATGAACACAGCTTTAAGAGCTGGACCAAAGGCAGATTCGACATTCATGTTCTCCTGGAACATGGAGGGCAAACTATCAAGGAACGCCTCTATTACATCTCTAGATTCTGACATGTTGACTAAAAGGTCATCGGGCAAAGGAACGAATATATCATCCAAATCTGAGACGACCATCATCTGAGGCTGTGTCAATGACGACTGATGCAAAATAAGACCACTAGTTATTCACCAGCATCAAAGGTAGATTAGAAATGCTAAAAATAAGAACTCTCTAATGACACTTTACCTTCATGTTATAGAAATGTATAGTGCTATCATAAGTAATGAAGCCGATTTGCGTACGAGGATAACCAGGCAGATTGTCTAAACAGGACTTAATAGTTTGAGCCGTAACCTGCAAAACATAAGGTATGATAATGATTCAGCCAAGAAAAAAGTGCTGAATAATTCAGTCAATCGTCATGAATGAATAATGATATTTCCAAGTAGTTAGACAGAGAAATACAAAGGTTTTCTAAGCGATTGTATACAGAGAAATAATTATGATACCAAAAAAACACTACATAGATTTGAGCAACTGCCAAAAAATGCCTTTTAGGCTTAGCAAGACTTGAATTTATGACTAAAAAATTTGTGAAAGATCAACAAGTTGTCCGACTCATCAAAATTGAAATTCTATTATAAGTTCCAATTTATGCCATGGATAAAGCAGAATCAAAAGGTTAGATATTTAGCAGCACTACCTCCGCCATAATGTCAAAAAATTAGAAATTGAAGTTTTACATGATATTTTTATTATACCAGATAAGTTTGAAGCCTACAATTTTGAACGAATAAAAAAAGATTAATAATACCCAAAACTTAATTTTCTTTAGCATTTCATTCCTGCAAAACATTACTGTATTACACTAGGATTACAGATGAATAAACCCATGAATACTCAATCAACTCCACCAGTGGTATTTTGTGAATCAAAAAAATATATTTCAGTTTTTCACTTTTCAGATATATAATTTGATAAATAGACAGTCAGTTATTTCAAATTATGAGATAATAACTGTAATCTAATTATTACAAAAAGATAACAAAGAATGTTAAAGGTGTCAACAAAGTTTAGTGAAATAATAAAACATGCAAACAGAACTAGTTCGCAATAAATATTTAATTGAGAACATTACCTCAAGCATTCCACTTTGTACTGCAGATATTGACACGTCAATGAGAAAAAAATACAGAGGCGGCATTGGGGGGCGGACCATGTACTCAGCTGGGGCGATAATTTCAACACTACCCTTAGATAGTTCAGGCCTCTGATCCAAATCAAGTCTTCTGCCACTAGCATCCAAATGTGAAAAATATTCTCCCGGAACTGCCAATGAAAAGTTATCAATAAGCTTTGGACCATTGAATGTAGAAGACCATTTGATTTAGCCTAATGAAAAGTTATCAATAAGCTTTGGACCATTGAATGTAGAAGACCATTTCATTTAGCCTAGAGGTTAACCTATTTTCAAATTTGCCAAAAGGACTGACAAATTTTGCTAGATTTCCACACAGCACAATATGGTGGTGAATTAGAGATAATATCCTATAATTTACTAAAAGAAATGCCTCAATTAGATCTATAGTCTATACTATTAGCAGCAGTAAGAAAAACCGTACCATCATTGAGCGATGAGCAAATATTGCATTTCCACTTTCTTCCACTGTCCACAAACGTAACATATGGATTAACATAAGTGCGGCACCTCCTACAACGAATAATGGCCGTCGTGGCAAAATTCACTATTGGAACTTCCTCCTGAATGAACAATGATGAACCAAATGAAGAATTAGAGAAGATAAACCGATAGTGGCAGATGGTATAACTGTAAACATAATGTCAATTTCAACACAGACTCACCCCAACAGGAGCTTCTGCCAGAGGACACACGACAGCCCCTAAAGGCAAATGCCACCGAGACGCCAGGGACTGAGAATTTGGTATTGCGCTCGTTGTCAGTCGTAGGAATCTAGAACTACAATTCATCGGGTACATCTCGGCAAAAATCTTGGGCTCAACATCACCATCCAATGGCCTTGGCAAAGCTGCAGAATCATGCCCTGCATCAAAGGATCCTGGTACTGATCCAAGAGAGAGTGAACTGAAATCTTCTGCCAGTGCCTGTGGAGTTGAAGTGGGTGGTGCAAGTCCATGCTGATGAATTTGGTTCCCAGAATAGAGCCCCGAAGGATTCGTAATTGGAGGACCAGGAACATAACCTCTTTGCTGACCCATAAAAGGAGTAGGAGGTGCTGGTGGAGCATAGCCTCCCTGTTGCAACGGAAAGTTACCCGGCTGCATAGGTGGAGTATGAGCAACCGATTCTGACTGTGTCTTAGCATAACCAGGAAAAGCCGGCTGGAAGGTACCCCTGGCAGCTGCATAAGATGGCCCCATTGGAGGTGAAGAAGGCTGAGGAGGTTGAGCATTCGGCCTTGAGGGTGGAAAGTGTTGATCTGCAGGCAAAGGAATATTCATGTTGGGTTGTCCAGTTTTAATGCTTTGAGGTGGAGACCCCATGACCACTGGAGGTGGTTGAGGTTGTGAAGGGAAAGAGCCAGGACCCGGAGGACCTCTGATAGGCGGAGGGCCCACGGGCTGGCCCATAAAGGAGGGACGAGGAGGTGGTGGTGCTTGACCTGTTGACACGACGGGTGGATTAGGGAAACGCTGAACTCCTGGATTTGGCTGGCCATATGAGGATGATGAGGGAGGGGGTCTAAAGGCAGGGGCCTCTGGTCCAACCAAAGGCCCACCAGAAAAGGGAGGCGCAGGAAACTGAGAGGATGGTGGAGCTGTGGGCCTAAAGGGAGATGGTGCTTGTCCGGTCATAGGCCCAGATGATGAAAAAGGGGTCGCCGACTGTGGAGCAGCAAAGGGTGTTCCAGTTGGTCTTGTTGGGTAATTTGGACGGTTAGGATTTTCGGTCCCCATGAAGATATTACCTCAAGCTTGATCACCAGAGCTTCTGCAAGTGATCATGAAGAATACAAGTAAATTAAAAATGAAAATAAAAGATGTCGTTTCACCGTCGCTGAAAAAATTAACCGAAGGACCTCATTTAGATTTGTCATAACTATACAGTTCAGCAAGGAAGTTTTTTTTTTTTTTTTTTTTTTTCTTTCGAAAAATACATACAACATTCAAATTCATAATGACCTAATAAACTGTAACAAAAGGACAGTGCAAACAAATGACAACATTGGAGCGGGAAATCAATCGTATTTATCCACTGGACCATAAGAAATCCAAAATTTCACACCACTGATATCAGATTAACCTCCTACTCAAGTGATGGGTAAACGGATATGGCAGTTTCAACTTCGAAACAAGCAAAGGACTACATATATCTCCCACCACATTGGACTGAAACTCTATATAGTTAACAAAAAAGGAAGCACGACCATATACAAAGCACTTCCGCCATAGCAGCACTATCACTCTTACAAACACAAATTCACGACCTCGCTATAAAAAATCCTCATAGAACCAAATCAACCCACATAATCTACCATTATTTTGATTGAAGGAACTAGCTGATTCATTCAGTTTCAGTTTGGGGGAAAACTATTCAAACAAGCTGTGCAATACCAAATCACGCATCATAGACCAATCAAGCTGGTAGCTCACAGTGGATCTACATAAAGCTAATCTCGAAATTGAACAAGACAACCTAAAATTTTCCGTTGAGAAAATAAAAGATTCACCACCACTGCTACCCGAAAACGAATCAGTAATCCAGAACCGGCAATTACCTGATCGGAGATCTCGCCGGCGGAGAACAAGATCGCAATTACAAATCCGGCGATCGGAGAAGCCAAAACTGAGTCGATTGCTTAATCTGCTCTGATTGTACAGAGTGTAAATTATATTGAAGTGCAGGGATAATAATTATATAAAAATTGGAGGAACTACTTTTATGTTTTAACTTCTTGACATCGGGCTATCGCCGGGCCAGTTTTCAGCTGTGTCTCAGTTTGGGCTTTTTATGCGGGCTTCACGCTGTGATTAATTTCGTGGATCGGATATTTTTTCAAGTAGTGTACTATTGATACCAATGTCTGATAGGACTAAATTAACACGTCGTGTGGCATTACATGAATCAACAAGTTATTACTCATATTTTCTTTATATATAATTCTTAATGACAGTAAGTTTAAGTGGCTAACTCTCACGCTTCGGAATTCTATTCATCACGAAACTATATGTTTTGGAGTTAGGATTTTATATAAATTAATATTTTTTTATCCAAAAATAATTAAACTTGGATTTCATTTAACGTATATATTATTCACACTAAATCCATAATTATTTTGTCTTATTTATTTCTACAATTAGTTACAATAAACTATTTTGCGTTTCCTTTTCCTACATTATCATACATTAAATTTTATTTTCTTAATTAATTCATAATCAATTTATAAATGTTACTTCTTCTTATTTTTAAGATTTTATAACTTTTTTGTTTGAATTTTATTTTTCATATATGACATATCAAATTAACTATCTTTTAAGGATTTTTGATTTGACATTTATATTATATATATAAAAAATAAAATACAAACCAATAATATATATCCTTATAAATAAAATTTAACTTTGTTTATCAAACTAAATTAAAAAATATTAAATAAAATATAAATTATATTATAAAGTAATAAAAATGTACGTATACTAAATATCATAAAATAGTTATTTTATTCAAAAAATATATATATATATATATAACTAAGTTTGAACATCAAAAAAATATATATAAATATTCTAAAATTTTATGTCTCAACTTACATATTGGTATCAAAAAGGCCTCCGACCGGCTAGAACAAGTTGGAAACACTAGGATCTCGAGCTATTTGCCGATTGAACGTCCTCGAACCTGCATAACTCTCACACCGGAAGATATCTCCAATGAAGAGTCTCTGATGCTTAAATGAGTGCGAAGAAGATGAAGTATAAAGAGGAAGAGCTCTTTGTAATACAAAATGCATAATAAAGAATGTAATGTAAATTAAGGCATACCTCACTCCCTTTTATAGGGCAATGATACATTGCTGCCCAAGACGGGTGTGTGTGTTGCCTCGATAGCAAGCGTGTCCACCACCTCACTTGTCAGAGTTGTCAGAGCTCTTCGTGTTGTCAGAAACGGTTATGAGGTGCGGACCACTTGAATGGTCTTGCCCATGTGAGTGTTTGATTCCCCTAAGATTCATTCTTATCTCTTTAGTTTCTCATATTAGAAGGTTTAATCCTATACTTGTCCTCAATTTCTTCGAGGTGAAGCATCCTACTTATCTAGTCGATCCCTCGACCACATGCTCTTTCGGGGTATGCTATGACCAGGTCCTCCGAGAATCTATATTCGATCTCTGAGCATTTTTTGCGCCTTTAATATCTTCTTCGACCTAAGGGTTCTTCGACCAAAGGGTTCTTCAATCTGAGAGATCTCCATCCTTCCTTCGACATGGTGATCCGTCCGGCCCGATACGATTGTTTCTCCCATCCAATCGATCTGGTGTGGTTATCTCATACCACATATAGAACATAGAGATTGAACATTATAATGATTTTGAAAGAAAAAAATTAAATGTGATGATTAAAATAATAAAAATGATTATTATACTTTATAAAGTTTAAAATTCCCTATATAATTATCGAATGTGCTGAGCCTAAGTGGCAGACTCGCGTGCTTCCGGATCTTATTTGCCATAATTCTATTATTTGAATTGATACATAGTTAGGTTTGCATGTCATGACAAAATGTCAATTACGCGTGGTTATTTACATAATATATTAAATATTTTCATTTATTGAAACAAACATTATTTATTTCATTCCATATTTTTTCTTCCACAGTTACCTTAATATTTTCTTGTTTGTTTCATTTTTTTCTAATGTTATATATCTTCACTAAATCAATTATATCAATGCATTTCTCAAATTTTCTCTCCAATATTCATTTTATTCTCATTTTGAAGATGAAATAATATGATATTACACTTTCAAAACGATATTTGTTTCAAATTTAATTGGTATGTTGTCATTCTAATCAAAATAAATAATTATTTTTCTTCCAAATTCTAAAGTTATATATAAAGACAGAAAATTGTGAAACACAACTGATACGACCCTTGATGTATTAGACATCTAATTAAGTAAAAAATTAATCTATTTTACTTAATGTTCAACAAACATCTCTATGCTTATGCATATACATATCACCATATTAATTCTATTTATTTAAGATATATATTTTTGTACTCATGTAATACTAAATAATATTCATATTATTATATGATATAAATAAAAAATTCAATATGAGTTGACATTTTCATTTAATAAACGAGTGTTTAACAATTATGATTAGAAAAATATAGTTTGACAATTTAATTAAAATCAAAAGTAATGTTTTATATAAGATTAAATTATTTTAGTTTTAAAGAAAACTTTTAAAATAAAAGCTTTAATATTTTTTTACATTTGCTTCTTAATTCAACATCTATGTAATATACGAGTATTGTATTAGTACTTATTATCCATGAAAATCTCTGCACTGCACTCTCCCGTCACGTTCGATACTTCGAGATGGTGATGAGGTGCTCGATATACCTCTTCCCCATCGATTTTTCAATTGTTGATTTTAGAAACGATAGATTTTAATTGATTGTTTCTTATTTATGAAAACAATCGAACCTTGTGATCACTATTTACCTCGGGCCAATTGGTTATTACAATGTAAAAATTGTAAGTTTTTTTTTTCTAATAATCAGTTGGAGATTTGTATACATTTATTTTTTCTCCATATATTTATCAACGGAATTTAAAAACAAAAATAAATATTAGAATCAAATTAAAAAATCACTATTTATCACGTTTTTGCAACTAGCAATTTTTACTCTCCCATTGTTTTGCACATGACAAAAAGAAAAAAAAAAGTCTCAAAATTATACATCCATATTGAACAAAAAAAATACATAACAAGTAATACAAGTTGTTATCCCTGATAACACGTTAGAAAATCCCTGATTCATAAACATAGACGCTCGACATTTTCTGACCTCCCGCTTCCACTTAGTCGGCCTTTTCGCACTGTTCGACACCATTCATAATCGGGCACACGACTCGTCTCTCTAGGTATCGAAACCCCCTTCCATATATAGAGCCTTGCCGCACTCACCAGTAGTCTATGACAAGGTCAGAGTTCCAGTGGTGTTGAGAGGCGACGAGATGTGGCCTCCGTCTGAATCCTCGGCTTTGGTCGGGACTGAGTTAAGGTCTCCCTCCTCCCTTCCCTGTTTACAGTCTCCCTGGTTCTTGAGGTTGGTTTGGGTTGATTGGTTTGACCGGTGGCGGACAACGGCTCATGCCGCCAGTCTGATGGGCTTGTGGCGTTGATTGGTGGAAGGGGAGAGAGGTGACGTCCTCCATTCTTCGGTCCGGGGCTGGGGTGTCTGGAGAAGATTTTAGTCAGGTGCGATACCAACTTGTTGTGGCTACATTGGAGTTTTTGATTCAGTGCTCGAGCTGAAGTTCTATCTGTTTGGGCGACTACCTCCAGGAGTTGGACCGTGGTTTGTTTGCGGTATGTTTGTTGGATGAGAGGAGAGCTTTAGTTTGTTATTAGTAGTTTTGTTGTGTATGTGTTAGTGCTTATGTGGTTTTGTTAGTGTGTTAGTTGTTTTATGCTTCTTAACAGTTATGAGACTTTATTAGTTTGTTTGTTTGGTAGGTGATGTTGATAACCGACTTGAATCGCCCAGATTAAAGTGGTGATAGCCATAGTTGTTACATCAAACTCGCCCATGTGCTCAACACAACTCACCTCAGTTTAAGCAAGACGGTCATACCGACTTCTCAGAGAATCCTTTGCCAATCGACTTCTAAAAAATTTCTCAAAGTTTCGATTCACAAACCGAGGTCCGATCTACCGAACTTCAAAGCAGGTGACCAGGCATCCTCTTACAGGACCACGTGCAAAACGTGTAATCATTGATGTTCCCCCGTTGACTGACAAACTGCCTCCAAAAGTTGTCACGCCTTAAATGCGATCCTATCTACCTCGTACAAAAATCAAACACATGTAAATATAAATAGCAACATTCTTTACTGTATGAGGATTTGGAGACAGACACAAGTAATACACACATACAAGAACAAGTTCGGTAAACACATATACCGACTTCCTGTACACAACAAAAACTCAAAAAAATAATACAAACATACTTGTTTTTATGCTTTCATTACGTTAAGGTATAGTTCTTAAATTCCATATAACAACAGGTGAGTTGGCCTAAATAAATATCTAAGCTTCAAGATATCTTCATATTAAATTCAACTAATTCTAATTGTTGTCAAGTTAGTAATTATATTTTTAATGTATGAAATATGTAGTTTGAAAAAAAAAAAAAAAAAAAGAAAAAAAAAGTAATACAAGCTAAATTAGTTTATGCACGCGTGTTAAAAACAAAGGAAAAAAAAAAGCATAAAGAAAATGGAAAAGCGCCTACGCCTACCACAGCTTGAAAACCGGAAACCTAAAATAACTCAAAAACGGCCTCCTCCCCACCGGCACGAACTTCATCGCCCACCCAATGGGCCACGACACGGCCGCGATTGCCACGCACGCGCTCCACTCCACCCAGCTCAGCCTCACCGTGCCGGCGAAATCCCTCAGAAACTCCACCATCACCGCCTGCAGCACCACCGTCACCCCAATAATCCCCAAAAACAGCCGATTCCCCCAAACTCCCCTGAACACATTCTTCCTTTCCAAATCCCTCGCGTTGAATTCGTTAAAAACCTGACACAACACGAACGTGTTAAACACGATCGTCCGGTTCACCTCCTCACCCACGCCCAAAATCGATCGGCCCCCAAATTGCAGGACCAGCAGCATTGCCATCTGGTACGCCGCCTGCGCGAGGAGGTTCCTCCACATGACATTCGTGATGAGCGGCTCCGACCGGCCGACGGGCGGGCTCCGCATGAGCCCGTCGTTCGGCTTCTCGGTGGCCAGCGCCAGTGCCCCGAGAGTATCCATGATGAGGTTGACCCACAGGAGCTGGACCGCCGTCAGGGGCACGTCCCCGGCCGAGACGGCTGCCACGAAATTGACGACCAGGGCCGCCACGTTCACCGTCAGCTGGAACTGGATGAACTTCTGGATGTTGTTGTACACGCACCGGCCCCACCGTAGAACGGTGGCCACCGACGAGAAATCGTCATCCAGAATTACGATGTCGGAGCTCTCCTTTGCGACCTCAGTACCCTGTATCCCCATCGATAGGCCGATGTCAGCCTCCTTGAGTGCAGGGGCGTCGTTCGTACCATCCCCTGTGACAGCCACCACGTGTCCCTTCTGCTTCAAGCATTGTACCATGAGTAGCTTGTCGAGCGGGGAGGATCGGGCCATGACTCGGATACGCTCGACCCGAACGGCCCGTTCCTCAGGTGAGTAGTTTCTGAACTCGGCTCCTTCAACTACTTCATCGTTTGAAACTTGTTGGTCTTGGTCGAGTATGCCACACTCGGCCGCGATTGCCTTGGCGGTGAACACATTGTCGCCGGTGATCATCTTCACATGGACTCCGGCAGCTCTGCACGACTGAATCGCCTTCCGGGCCCCAGGCCTGCACGGGTCCTTCAACCCGACTATCCCGAGTAGGGTCAGGTCCTTATCTTCTAGATGATAATTTTTGTCGGGTTCGTGTTTTTTGGGTGCCACTTGCAGGTGAGCGAATGCTATGCAACGTAAGCTACTGGCCGCCATTCCCTGAATAATCCTTTCTATCTGGGCACGTTTTTCTTCAGTAATAGGCTTTGGCTTTTGGCTGTCGAGCTCGCGGTAATTCGAACAATTTTTTAGTAACACCTCGGCGGCTCCTTTCCAGTGCATATGATGAGAATCGTCTGCATTGTTCCTGATCAGGACCCCACTTCGTTTTTTGTCGGAATTAAAGGTCTCGACGTGCAAAATGGTGTAATCACGCTTCATTTTCTCAATATCCATGAACAAATCTTGAACGGCCCATCTGAGAATGGCTTTCTCAGTCGGGCTGCCTGAGTACTCGACCACAGAGCCCGTTTTCGGCTTGTAAATGCTTCCCGTCGTGTTAAACCCAATTCCTTGACAAAACAGCTCGAGCAGTTCCTGACCGATAAAACGGGATTTCTCCTGCCGAACTTCTTGCTCCCCGACAAAGAACTTGGTTACCGTCATCTGGTTTAGAGTCAGAGTGCCCGTCTTGTCTGTGCATATTACCGTGGCAGACCCCATAGTTTCGCAAGCCGAGAGCTTTCTCACCATGGCCTGATCAGCCATCATACGTTTCATCGAGTATGCAAGTGTGAGTGTCACGGCCAATGGCAGCCCTTCAGGTATAGCCACAACCACAATAGTCACTGCAGTTGAAACTATCCTTAAAACCGAGTTGAACACATCGTTCAAATCCTGGTCAACCCCATTGAACTCCCGAAATCCGCTTTCATCCTCGGTATTCCCAGTGAAATATCGCACGAGCATCACCAATAAAACGAAAAAGGCCACGGCCAGGCCAACTTTCCCGATCGATGATGTCAGCCTGTCGAGCCTCTCCTGCAGTGGGGTCTGCTCGTTCATATCCCGCGTGATCGAGCTCATCATCTCTCCCCATGCGGTGTTCATCCCAACCGAGACCACCACCATCCTCGAATACCCGTCTGCCACTTTCGAGCCCGACAGCAAAAACGGATTTTGAAGCGAATTTATCTCGACGTGGTCACTTTCGCCCGTCATGCTCGACTCGTCGACTCGAAACGAGTGCCCGTCTATGAACAACCCGTCCGCCGGAATTTGATCTCCGATCTTCAAAAACACGACTTCACCAACCACCACGTCGAAAATCGAGACCTGCTGCCTCCGCCCATCTCTCAACACGTCGACCCTAATGTCGTTGCTGATTCTCGACAGCCTGTCGAACTGTCTCTCCTGCCGGAAGTTGCTGGCGGCCGACACCGCAACCACTAGGAAAACCGCCACGAATATGCTCCCGCCTTCATACCACCCGTCTCGTATGCCGTGCTCCCTTATCCCGAAGGTTAAAGAGAGTGCCGCGCATACGAGGAGAATCAGTATGGTCGTGTCCTTGAATGCCTCGACTATGAAATAGAATAGCCCTTTAGGAGCGGGCTTCTTGTACGTGTTTGAACCGAATTTTAACCGGCGGTTGGCCAGCTCGGGCTCGTCTGAGCTGACCCCATTTTCCGTGTCGGTCAACAAGAGGTCAGCCACGGCACGGACCCCCCCAAGGGCATCGAGTTCCGCGAGGTTCTTGTTTTTCACCATTTGCGCGAGCTTTGTCGGGTTCAGCTCGGGCTTATCGTGGCACGATCGGGTGTCTTCGGATTCGCTTATTTCGAGAACCGTGTGGGGTAGAGAAAGAGTGTTCGACTGCTTTCTGGAGGGAAGAACGCATTTCGCGAGAGATAGCGAGACGTGTATGACGAGGCACGCGACCCGCCATTTTTTCTGCGATTTTGTGAAAGGGGATGTGGTGATTTGGAGCAGCACGGTTTGAATGCCAGCATTTGATGAGTATTCGGGTTTGCTTTCCATTTTTTTTTTTTTTTCTTCTTTTGGGCTCTCTTTTCTTTTGTTTGTTGTTGGATAATGTGTTCAAATTTTGGTGTTTACAGGTCAACAGATGAGTACAAAAAAGTTGTTCATTCAAGTCTGGCATATTTTGCTTGGAGGTGCACTTAACTACTTATAGCTAGCAGAGGATGATTACCCGCCAAATAAAGGTACTACTTGATTTTTGGGGGGAACTTCATGGAAATTTCGTATACCATGTGAAAAGATATACTGTACAAGCAGACATTGTAGATTTTCCGCGAAAACAAGAAACTGAATCAAAGCATCATCTCTTTGATGTTTTGATAATGAAGATGAGTAATAAAGATTAAAGCTTTATCTGCTAAGAATGCGAGTGTATTAAGATTGCAAGAAACTGTTTGTGCATGTTCCATGCTGAAGTTCCATATTCAGACACGGAGTTCTATTGAGATAGAATTCAAGATTGGGATGAATTTGAATTAGCTTTTATTATGATAAAAATGAGTGTTT